ATATTTTAAAGTGGAAATGTTTTTGTAATATGCCATTCTTTTAGCTAAAGTTACTTACAAAAAAAAAAATAATTTTTTTTAAATATTAAAAAAAGAACTAACGCCAAAACTAAAAAAATTAATTCTATTTGAATGTATTTTGCTTTAGAACCGATAACAAAACTCAAATTAGATAAATATACATATAATTTTTAATGCCAATACGTAACGCAAAATAAGAAAATTTTATCGAAAACAAGTTCATATCTGTGTACTAAGTCAGAAAAACCTAAAAACATCGCAATAGAAGAATTCTACAATACCGTGGCTCAAATGAATAGAAACTCGTCTAAAAACTGAATTTGGCTATGCAAAGTTGAAAAAATAATGATGCAATTTTTTGTATAAATTAGGGAAGTGGTTGGGTGAGATGCGCACTGTGTTGGCAATAAAAAAAAACAGCAGCAACAACAATTTAACAACAGCTAAAATTGTACTTGCGTAGTAAGCATACATACATACATTTGAACTGCATTAATTGCAACATAACGTAGCATCATGTGGTAGAGTAGCCGACAGTTTTATCAAACGCAAACTACCCGCAAGGATACGAAAATATCAAAGCGACACACAAATTACGAAAAAATACAACTAAAATACGTGCGTACATACAAAAGAGTCAAATAAAAATTCTTATAAAATATGTTCCCTATATCGTGTCGAATGCAAGTCGTTTTTCGAGAGTCGAGTCGTATTGAAAAGTTCATGGCATTGCCTAAAAATCCCATTCGACTGGTGTATTAAAATGGGAAAACAGCATGGCAGCGCTGCATAGTTTTCGACAGTTTTCGTTGTCTACTACTTATTTCATCCCGACTATAGGCAATGTCAATGTCTTCGAGTCGTGCATTTTAGTCTTATTTAAGACGTACGCAATGAGGCTGAGCAATTCAATTGAATAGTGCAAACAAATTAGCAAACATCTACTTTAAAGTATGTAGTATGTACATATATACATACATACATAGATACCTACCTACAGTGTTGGACATATAACTTTGAACCGAATATTATTTGCCACTTAATGTTTATTTATTAATTTTAAAAATTTCTAAGTTAAAATACAGGTCAATCCCTCACAAGTACCATATCCAAGATTAAAATTTTGCAGAACACTGAAAAAAATCATCAAATTGTCATCCAAATTTCAAACGCGTTTCTTAGCAGTGTAACACATTTTTGAGTACACATTCTTGCGGTTTTCTTCCATAGAAAAATAAATTGTATTTATTCGTTAAATGGAAGTAAATGCGACAAAGAAATTCTCCACGATAATTCCTGGACATTTGAAATTGCCGATTATTATACTTAAATTTAAAGGGCTATAAAACTGTGTATCTACTCAAAAAAAATGTTAGCAGTTCTGCGAAACAAAATCGAAATTTATATTAAAATTTTGTGAATTGTTTTTTTTTTCAGTGTTCTACAAAGTTTTATAATTGGGTTTTTATGCTATATGAGAGAGAATAACTGTGTTTTAATTGAAAATTCATAAAAATTAATAAATAAACAAGTGGCAAACAATATCGTTTTGTGTGTGATATGTCCGATACTGTACATATATATACATACATATGTACATACTATGTATAAATGTTTGTATGCACTCCAAAACCTTTTTAAAAAAATATTCAACTCTTTCTGTAAACTCAAACTTACAAACATACCCATACGTGCAAACAACAACAACACACAAGTCTGCAAATGTATACACGAGTACTAACTACATACATACATACAACATAGTAAATAATAGTGTAGTTAAATAGTGCGAAAGTCGGCGAATGATATCTTCAGTTGAATACAAAAAAAAAAATAATAAACAAATACAAATCGTTGAAGGAAATGTGAAATTTGTAATTTTACTTACGTAGTATATTTAAATATATCTCTATATATAGTATATATATACGTATATGTACATATGAAAACATTAAAAATTAATATAAATATTAGTTCGTGTAATTTAAAAAATTTTTATTTAACGTAACTTAAAAAAAAACAACAAAAAATCCATTGTATAAAAATGTAAAATTAATATGAAGAAAAATACGCTAGAAAATATTCAAAGAAAAAACAAATTACCAAGTAAAGCGTAATACAAAAAAAAAAACAATAAAAGTTTTGAAAAATCACCTAATTATTTTAGGTATACGTAAAAACTAAAAACAACGTCTTTTACTCTTTCTTACTTTCGACGATGTATTGATGTATTGGACAATTCCAGATCGGATGAAGCTTTATCATTGCAGAAAAACACTAGGAGCTTTGCCATTGCCTGCCGAGGAGCGACCGCTGCTAGAAGAAACTTTCTAATTTAGATCTTGCCCAGGCAGGAATCGAACCAAGGTCCTACAGAGCGTTGTACACATCTCTAACCGTTTAGCCACAGCGGCAAACTGTACTGTGTTGTCAATAGGCCAACAACCCCTTCGGGGGTATATATCTCACCGAGCTTCCTAGCTTATTGCCCGTCATCCATATTCTTCGCCATCTGGTTGCCTTCTAATATTAATGATGGGCACAGAAGGATGGGGTAAAGAGAATGTATCATCTCGGAATATGGAATCTCTCAGGGCTCAGATACCCCTAACCTTCCCACAGAAATTGTTAACTTCGAAAGGAATTTCAAAATAGAGCTAGGGAACAAGGCAAGCTGGAACGCCACAAATATCAAGAAATACTTCCAGCTGAACCCTCTAGTATGTAGCAAACTCAAAAACAACCGAGAGAATTGGAGTCGGCATTTTTAGTCCATGAACAAAAATATCGCAGTTTGCATGGGTAGACTCTAGTATATTCCAAGCGGAGGTTCTCTCGTGCGAGAAAGATCCTGTTGAAATCGGCTCAACAACTAATTCTCTTCTATAAACTGAATTGGCAAACAATTACCCTCCCCGCAGATAACGCCCCCATGTCCCAGTCCACCTACATATTTACATAATCTTTCAACTTGGCCGTCCTACCACCAGATGCCTTATGACCAGCGTCCATAGACGCAGTGGAATTCCTTGTTTTTAAGCTCTCCGAGTCGGATGAAGCTGTAGGCTGTGAAGGCCTGTTAAGACGGAGTGAAAGGGAGAAACTCGATAATGTTTGAAAACTTCGTAGTTGGATTTGTTTATTTGGGTTTTAGGTACCTGCAGCGTTTTTTGAAGCAGTGGTTATTGACTGGGCGATAACTATTCGGTGTAACAACGTCTTTTGAGATTTATGTATATTCAGATAACCAAAGGGCTCAATATCCTGTTGTTCTTCTGACTTTTATCGTTCTTCATACTGAACTCTTCCAAACCAGGCTGATATTTATGCCTGCTGCTGCTTAGCTGTCCTGCCTTCAAGCTATCAAGCTCTGAATATCTTGGCTCATTTTATAAAACGGCCTGAGCGACTAAGGCAACCGATACTGCCTCAGTATATCCCGTTCGACACTACCCATCCAACCCAAGCCATTAATTTCTTCTTTATCTGAAACTCAGTAAAGTCTTATTTTTTTAAACGGATTAAAATTCTCAGGAACATTAAGTGTGTATAAAAATGATTGTGAAGCCTCCGCAGGACCTCATGTTTCGTTAGGGTGGGGCCAAGGCCTATGAATTCAATATCGTTCTGTTGAAAGTGTTCGCAAAGTTTTCCCGTGGAAAAATACAAAATTAATAAGTTAATAGCGCAATGTGTGTGCCAAATTTGGTCGAGATCGGTCAAGTAGTTTTTGAGATACACATACATGACATACATAAGTGGGCGGTGCCACCCCCCATTTTCTTAAAATTTTTGGAAAAACCAATATTTTGCTAAAAAGGGATTGTATATATCCAATTTTGAATGAGTATTGATGAATTCCTTAGCCACGCTGCTCAAAAAATCTGAAAGTCCGGTACATAAACAATTTAAATTCAGGGCCGTATTCATGAAAAATCGCCTAACTTTGACAATTTTTATGCGATTGCCATAAATGAGCTATCAGTTTAGTTAAAAATAGATTTAATTTTCGATAGTACTATAAATTTTAAAAATGTGGAAATTATCGAAGGTCAAAATTTAATAAATTAAGAGAAATATGGTTTTTTTTTACCCGGTAAAAAATCCCAACAATCCAAGTCCGACAACAGATTATTATTGTATACCATTTTAAAGGCTTATATATCCGCTTCTCAGATCATATTAGATCTTTGAAATCGAATGAAAAACAGTCATTCAAAAACTCATAAATCTACAAAATCGTACTTTCCGACCTAAATCAACCGGTCACGACCTCGAAATGACCTTTAAAAAATTTATAAAAATAGGCAATAATATTTCTCATAAAAACGAAAAAATTAGGGGGTAGGGTCTGGAAATTTCAAAAAAAAGCAGTTTCCATGGGCACCCTAATGTACATACATATATTATTAACATGAAAAGGAATAACTCCACAAAAAATGTTGCCGATAGGTGGCGCAGGAGTTGAGATATTTGGGATACCACTTCGTTCATATTTTGAGAGCTTGTTTCAAAAATATTTTTTATTATTAACTTATAGCCAAGCATATTCAAATTAATCTTTATTGAAAGAAAGTGCAAAATTCATTGTCATACAACAAAATGTATTTAAACTCTTTGCTGGAAAAACGCCATAAATTAAAAAAAAATCGAGAAGTGTGAAAAATGGCTTTAATAATTTTTTTCCTCCATCCACAGATATAATTAATAACTAAAATTACATACATAGGTATCTAGTGAATAGTAATAGCTTGGCACTTACACAATATGTTAGAGTTTGGCCGAGCTTCTCCTCCGATTTGTGGCGTGCGCCATGATTTTGTCACACAAAGTGGAGGGACCTACAGTTTTACGCCGACTCCGACTCCGAATGGCAAATGCATTTGTATGAGAAGCTGTTTTTCATGGCTGAAAATACTCGGTGGTTTGTCATTTCTTGCAGAGGGGGCGAACGCTAATAGAAAATATTTTTTCTTTCCTTTTTTTGACCCAGGACCCAGGCCCTGCGGAACGGTAGTGGGCACTTCTAAGCACTAAACCATAGCCGACCGCAAAATATAATCCATAGATTAAGCTACGAGCGGACGCCGAGTGGTTTGAGGTGCGGACTGCCACTCCATATGAACTGGGTACGATCACTGGGCCGAGCAACATCTAAAATTAACATTTTTTTTATTTAGCAGTATTTGCCGTTAGCATAGGTATCATAAAATTGTAGGTCCCTCCATTTTTGTTATAACATCAGGACGCCCAGACAAATTAGAGGATAAGCTCGGCCAAACACCAAATAGGAAGGACTTTGTTTCGGACTTCCGGTAAATGGGCGACATGTTATGATGGGTGTGCGTCTACAAATAGCAGTTTTTCAAATTGTACTTTACTTAAAGCTACATCTAAAAATTCCAAATATTCTCTCTTAGTTTTATACATAATTATAATCATTTCTCTTCTCTCTCCCTCTCTCTACGCCAAAATTTTAACCATTCACTCCGAAACCACTCAGCTGTGCTATCGGCCATACAATGTCCTCTATCCAGTCGATGTACGCTGAAACGCGTGAGTAGATGCTTGGTGGTGCACCGCCACAAGCCTGTCCAAATGAGGTTATACCAATCACATACGAATAGGTGATGTCGCGATCGACTTTCATGATTAGCGGACCGCCAGAGTCGCCCTGGAAAAAAAAATTTTTTTTTGACATGAAGCGAAAAAAGTCAATTGCGTACTATTTAGAGCACATTACCTGGCATGTATCGCGACGATTTTCCTGATCACCAGCGCATATCTGTGTGCTGGCCAAACCTTGCTGCAGAATATTCTCATCTGGCATATAGTAACGTATACAAATGTCGTTGGGTACAACAAATAAAGTGGCTTTCTGCAAAACATTGGAGCTGGTGCCAGCTGAAAATCACAGATACCAACAAAAAAAAAATCACTAATCACCTCAATTGCGTATAGTACCTTTAAAAAGTGTTCTTACCAAATTGCGTGTGCCCATAACCGAGAGCTGTTACATTGTTATGTGGTACATCGTACTGGTTCCACAAGCAAGCTGGAGTTTCTCTTCAAAATAAAGGAATGATAAACAATTGTATTGGTATAAAGTTTGCGAAATTTAGTTATTTATGTATGAAACCTTGATTCCTGTGCCAATTCTAATAATGCAATATCATTATAAGATGCACCGCTCCTATAACCTGGATGCACTATGATTCTCTTAATGGGTATATTTGGTGTTTTCGGATCGGTGATATTAGTGCCGCCCACTCGTACCACTGTAGGCGATTGTCTGTGTAAATTAAATACATATGTAAGTATTTAAATACCAAATGCAGCTTTAAACAATCAAAAAAGGTAGTATTTAGTAGTAGTTCCCTTTAAAAACCTACCCGCCCAAGCCCGTGCAATGCGCTGCTGTCAACACGAATTGCGGCGATATTAATACGCCGGCGCAGTAGAAAAAGGAATTGCCTTTATCATTGTTGGAAAGCCAACCCACAGCAGCCTAAAAAACGTGATGTTATTAAATAGGCATTTAAATAAAATTTTACGCATATTTTTTCGCTGATGAGTAATTACCATGTAGGGGAATTCTTTAGGTGCCGCCGGCTGGCCATTCACCACAGTTGTATGAAATGTACCTTGTTGAGATTCACATTCTGCAAAGAAAAAAAGCCAGTTAGACGCACATACTGATGTATCAGTTATAATACTAATAATAATATATGAGTAATTAAATACTTTCGTATTTAAACCTCCTGGATTTGTGGTGGCAGAGAGGCTCCCTCGCTGAGTACTGGCGTTCTCCCGGTGGACGAACCTCTAGCCACAACCCGAATCAAAGCGAGATTCTCTCTCATCTCGCTCATCTTCGCCCATGCTCAGACGGAAGAGCAGGACGACGCGTCCAAGGATCTCTTCTATGAGCGCTTGGAGCGTATATGTGGAAGCTGCCCCCGACACGATATAAATATCGTGCTTGGCGATTTCAATGTAAAGGTGGGCAAGCAAGGGATATTTGGCGTCGCTGTTGGAAAATTCAGCCTCCACGACGGACTCAGGCTGTTCGACTTCGCCGGGGCTCGAAATATGATATTGTGTAGTACAAGGTTCCAGTATAAAAGGATCCATCAATCTACATGGCTCTCTCCAGATCGAAAAGCGATAAACCAAATCGATCATGTCGTGATAGATGGAAGGCACTCTTTCAGTGTTTTAGATATACGTACACTCCGAGGGCCAAACATCGAAAAGATAAGCACACGCTTCTGTGCACCACAAAATGTGCACCCAAAAATGCAAGGAAAGCTTAACGTCGAAAAGCTGCAATCACAAATACTGCCAATTTATTCGCCTCTCGACTATTACAACTGATCTCTGAGAGCACTCGTCAACAAACCGACATACGCGAGCAGTGGAACCACATTTCGCGCTTATTAAGTGCTGCCGCCGAAGTAGTAGTCGGATTTCGGCGAGCCCAAAAGAAGAACTGGTAGGATGAGGAGTGTTAAGAAACCGCAGAAAAAAGATCTCGCCTACACGGTCACGCTGCGATCGGGCGCAACGCGAGAAATGTGGGACCGTTAAAGGGAACTGTAGAGGGAAGCGAGACGTATTTGCCGCAATAAGAAGAGAGAGACCGAAATACGCGAGTGCAAAGAGCTTGAAGTGGTGGTCAACAGAAAGGACGGCCGCAACTTTTATCAGAGAATTAAGCGACTTATGGAAGGTTTTAAGACCAGGGCCCGAAATGGGGCATTCGATATCCAACATAATTCGAATCAAAATTTGATTTTAAGATCGCGGCATTTGATAGCGAGTGTGCTTCGTCCGTTTAAATTGTATTGTGGAGAAACCAGCTGCCATTATTTTGTTTCATTCGAATCGAGACGAGTAATCCCTCAATCACGAATGCCGCGATTTGGGCCCAGGTCGAACTCCTGTAAGAACAACTATGGCCACCTAGTGACCGATGCCCAGAACCTACTTAAATTATGGATTATTAATTTAATTATAAGTACTTTTGAAAAAATAAACACTCATAAATTTATGTAACCTTTTAGCGTAAGTGTTATCATCTGTGCTTGAAAAAATTTTGAGGCACAAACAAACCGATCTACATACATACATATACATTTACTAGTCACAGATCAAGTGAGACAACAACAAAATAATTGAATTTATCTGCATTCATGCCATCTCGGCTGTAATTTCAGAATGCAGTCCCATTTCTCTTATTGTCTCCTTTTTTTTTTACTTAATTGCACTGATCCCTATCACAGCATGAAATAATTGTCTTGTTTAAATGCTCATAATTAGATTCAATTGGTTGTGCGATGACGAGTCTCTTGCCCCATGAACTAAATATCTTGGTATGCATATATGGCATTCAGTAACACGCACGCACATATAAACATATAAATTTAAAAGTACCAGGATGTAACGTTTTTATTAAAAAATACATATGTCTACATGTACCTTAATAACTTAAATAGAGCTTTTGCTTTATAAACTTTTTTCGAAGCAAACAACTAAAGCTTGGCCCTGGTTAGACTTATTATGCCTGCTAATGATTTTTACTTTACCCTAGACAGGTCTATTCCAATCTTTACACCTGTGTTGATCCGATACAAAGAGAATTTCGTATAAAAATAGTAAAAAAAATATGGATTTAGTAAGAGATGAATTTCATTTCAAGTAAAGAGATACAACATCGCCACGATACACTCCACAAGAGTTCTCATAGACGTTTTAAGACGAGGGTCGCTTAACGAAAACGCACTTTAAATTACTTAGTTTTTTAACGAATAACGGTATAAGAATGCAACTTTAAATTATTTTTCAATTATTTATCTCCATTTCAGTGACACCTGTTCAGGGCTGTTTGCAGCTCTCAAGAAAAATCATAAAAAATATTTTTCATTATTTCTGTTGGTTGAAAAAGTACTTTGCCTTTGCTCTAAATTTTCTTAAAGAAATAAATATTCTAGAACTTTTTTCTTGAGAGCTGCAAACTGATTTAAGAAATTTTGCTTGAAGAAAATTTCTTTTCCATTTCTTGTGCGTGCTTTTATATACACTTTTCGTTTTTCTAGAGCTGCAAACAGCCCTTAAAGGCAAAATTTTTAGACAATATCTAGACCTGTAGTGTGTTTCTGTAAGAAATCGACTAAATTTTCGATCGAGATATCGACTAAATTATATGTATGTATGTACATCAAATCGATCATTTAAATCGAGAATATTTATTTATTTATTTATTGATCCATAAAATATTAAATTTTATACAAACGAAGTAATTAATTCATTCAGTATTGATTTGAAAGTCCATAACAGAATAATTTGAGAGTAAGTTACAGAAACGCACCACTGATCTATGAACACATCCATACAAATTTTATGAAAATTCTATTCTTCCAGTAGTTTGTGAAGCTCAACAAACTCAGCGATGATTGTAGAATAAATTCAGTTGGTTTTTAATCACTAATTCCCGGCTTGATGCCATTTACTTTTCGAAATCGAAATTAACCAACTTACCCATCTCACTGCGTCGCTTCACCTGCATCGGTTTCATATATAAGATCGGCTCCAATATAGGACTCGTTTCGATTTCGCAACATACTATATGTTCGAATTTATTGAAATAACAAGTTTGTGGACGTATATTTTGATTCTTCCAACGCCTTAGCGCTGAACCACATTCGGCCAGATTTTTGCAGGTGCCACGTACTTTTTTCGTTGTATCCACAAAGCAGGTGCTATCACTACTTTCCTTGGGGAAAACAATGCCACGCAACGCATCCTGAGCCAAAGCTGCTGTGGATTTTAAGGAAAAGTTGTTATTTACATACATATCTACATACATACATACATATGTATTTGTGTACATACAGTATTGGCCAATACAATAGCACCCCCATTTCAAAGTGATATTTTTTGCCACTCATGTTTATTTATTTATTTTTTAAGAATTTTCAATTAAAATACAGTTCATTCTCTCACAAAACTCACATAAACTCAAGCTTAAAACTTTTTAAAAGACCGCAAAAAAGTGCAACAAATTTTCACCCAAATTTCAAACTTTTTTCTCAGAAGCGGTAGAATTTTTTTGAATACACAGTTTTATAGCCCATTCAATTTTAGTCTAATAATGTGCAAGTTTCAAGTGGCTAAAAATTACCGTTGATTTTTTAGAATTTTTTTCGCCGAGGATGTTGCGGGTTTCTGCCATATAAAAATAAATTGTGTTTAGTCCATATATGGAAGCAAATGAGACAAAAAAAATTCTAAAAAATCAACGGTAATATTTAGCGACTTGATACTTGCACATTATTGGACAAAATTGAGTGCGCTATAAAACTGTGTACTCAAAAAAAATTCTAGAGCTTCTGAGAAAAAAGTTTGAAATTTAAGGGAAAGTTTGTTGCACTTTTTNTTCGAAAGTGATTTCTACAAATCTGCAAAAAGGACTTTCTGGCTGTGTAAACGGGAAAGTAGACTTTCAATTCCGCATTTTGACAGCGAAACGCGTAGAAAAGGCGCTTGCATTACCACGTTTAACCGGTGCGGTCTTCTTCCTCATGCCGAAAGCTTCAGCAGAGGGAGCTCGTTCTAGCCATCTTGTCGGCTATTTCGTTCCTTTCCATATTGATAAGTCCAGGAACCCAGCCGAGAGAGATATTGACGTGACTCAGTAAAGCCAGCGATGCACTACATTTCCGAACTACCTTCTACTTTATTACCTCGGAACATAATGTTTCTAATGCCGCCAGGCAGGAGATATGGTTGTTTTATCTACAGGTTCTTAGAGTATATGTAGATCCCAGCCGACTCCTTTTTTCATCTTTGACCATTAGTGTAGACGGAAATACCATTATTTACCGACAGTAGGCCGCCTATCTAATCTTCCTAGTAGGAAAATGTATGGGAACCTTAAGACGGGCTTGATTCCATTACGCCGTCCACTATTAATTACATTCAAGATCTTCGCGTGCCCGTACTTGGTCCGATTCCACAATTTTTATTCTCTTAGCCTAAGGGCCCCCTTTTGTGACCGCGCCTGTTCCGAATACTTGTGGCGGCTTCAGGTAAAATATCATGTTCAGCCCTTCTTGTGGTGCGCTACTTCCGTCGCCTGATTTATCGAGGCTTGTAAGTTTTTTGAACTATTCCAATGCATTGCTTTCCACCAGACCAATGCGGTAACAGCCCCCAGCTTTCCCCCGAAAGCCGTTTTGCAGATAAAGTGCGCCTTTTCTTCTGCGTTGCGCGACCATGTAAGTTTGGAGTCAAGGATAATACCTACGTATTTCACCTCGGAGGAAAGGTTCAGGCTATTCCGTCCAGCTTTGGTAAGGGGAATTCAGGGATTTTTGTTTTCCTTGTGAACAAGAAAGGTTCAGATTTAAAAGGGTACGTCATAGCCGATTTTGTTTTGCCCAGTTATTTAGATTCTATCAGCTCACTGAATGTTGGCAAAAATTTTCCGGAAATTGGTGAAGCGAAGTCATCAGCTTAGATAACTACCTTCGTTCTTTTAACTTTAAAGCTTTCTAACAGTTTATTTAACACCACTCCCTGCGGAGTTCTTCTTGTTATTCTACTGATAAAGGACCTTTTGTCTACATCTGCGTTGATTATTCTGCTTTTAAGCATAGAGTCCTTCCTCGACACTATCAATTGCTTCGGTTTCGATCACCATTCAACAGATCTTGGAAAAACCCGCGAGAGTAGAACAGACACACTCCGCTTTCGCCAGCATGGAAAGGTGTTGACTACTTGCCGCGATGTAAAATAATGCAGAGCAATACATCCAGCTCTGTGTCAACGGGGAATAACCTCTCAGCGATCTTCGATGCAAAACGAAGTTTCAGACATCGCGACTCTCTTTTGTCGACCTTCTTCATTGTGACAAGACGCCTAGAACATCCGCGCCGTCTGTTATAATTTCAAAAAAGTTGGGAAATTCTGCATTAACACCAATCTTGAATTTCTACAACGAGTTCTGTAGACAGTGAGCTGTAGAGCTTTAAAATACCGCGGCTCTGCGAAAGCCCCGAAAAATATTCAATGCGCTACCCGCTGGTGGTAGCAGAGGAAGAGGAAAGCCTCTTTAAAAAACAATACAGCACTAAAAAGGGGCAGATGTCAGAATTGTCATGTAAATTTAACTATTCCCATGTAAATGCATAAAAACCACTAAGGGTATGTTGGTATTTCCCCACGTGTGCAACTAGCGTCTTTCGTGCCAATGAAGGCATCTTTAATGTTACATGCTTGCCGAAAAATCTACCCTTGTTTATACCTTAACTTACTTTGACTTTAAATTCACATTGTAATTGAGTGCGTACCCATACTACATACATATATGTTTGTAATAAGGGACTATTTTTCGAAAGACATTTTTTTATTGGAAAATAATTCTTGAAAACATTCTCAAGTAACTAGTTTATCGCTAATTTAGAGCGAAAAGTTGCTAAGTCCACTTTTTCTGAAAACTCATATTTTGATGTCGGAGGCAAGAGAAAATTTCTCATCAATGCCTTATTCCAGAATTTGGTTGGAGAGATAGGGATCTCAGAATTTTATTGAAGAATGTCCTATTTCAGAATTCGGTTCAAAACCGCCCTATCACTTTTTCATTTGAGATAGGGCGTTTCTTCACCCAAATTTTGACATAGGGTGTTTTCCAATAAAATTCTGAAATTCTTCGTCCTTTAATCAAATTCTGAATCAGGGCGTTTTTGAAAAGTTTTCTGAGGTATGTCGTTTTCGAACTGGCTGCCGAGATAGGTCGATCTTCCACAATAAGATCTAAATTTTAAGTACTTCGATTTAAAAAAAAAAAAGTTGTGAAACAAATGTTGTTAACAATTGGATATTTTGCCGAAATCTACAGTAAAACAAGCGTTTTGTTAAGTTTAGTCTTAAAACTGCTACGCCCTTTTCAAGAGGTTTATTGCCTGAAACAAAAAGCTTCCCAAGCAATCATGCCAAGGAGGTCTCAAATGTTCTACCTTCGTTATTTGAACTGTCTCGACTGTAGGCCCGGACAGCGAAGCAAATAGTGATCAAAACTCGTAGGTATTGGACATGTTAAGGTCATCGGTATTTTTTAAGTCCCTTTACATGGAAAAACGTCACGTTAATGGAAAATCACATCATATACACCGCTCACATCATGTGATGTTGTGATGTTTGGCATTCCAGCCCTTTACGAAAAGTGAATAGACTTTATGCTTTGTTAAGTATTATTTATGTGTACCTACGAATGCACGTAAATGTCTTGTACATTATTTTACCTACCATTTGCATCTCTTGTTTATGCAACAAACTTAACCAAATGGAAATCCAATTCAAATATAAGTCAAGTGACGTCGACCTGATGCAATACATCATTCACCAGTCTCTATGAAGCATTCAAACACTCAAACGTTCAACAACACATGCAACACTCTTGCAACAGCATCAAAATACACGTTTGTAACCATGTATATACATATGTATATTTCTATACGTATGTATATGGGGGGCGTTCCATACCAAAACGGACGGGGTTCACACTTCATGTGTTTGATTTGTTTTAAATTTTTAGGGCTAGGGAAATAATAACAAAATATGAATTTTGAGCTTGATTAATACATTTTTAAAAACTTTACAGCACAAAAACAAATCGATTTAAAAGTTTTCCAAATATCTCGAGAATGGAACGAGGAAAAAATTTGAAAAAAATCACACATACACACATTAAAATTCTCTATGAAAATAAGTATTTTTAAATTTTTTTTTCTTGAAAAATTTTTCACATACAATTTTTTGATAAAAAAATTAGTTTTTGAAAAAATTCCATCTCAAAAAATATAAAAAATAAAATCACAATGGTAGTTCTGAATATTGCACAATTTTAAGTATAGTATTCTGAGGTGCATTCGACAATAATTTGAGTTATTTATTTTTTTTTATTTTACAAATTTTTAATTTTTTTTTCGAATTTTTTTGAGTATGCAGTTTTGTAGCCCTTTAAATTTAACTTTAAACTTGTACTTTATTAAACTAAAATTTAATGATTTACAAGACTGCATACTCAAAAAAAAATTCTAAAAAAATTAAAAAAATTTGCAAATTTGTAACTTCGGAGTAAAAAAAAATTGATAACTCAAATTATTGTAGAGTGCACCTCATAATACCATACTTAAATATTGCGCAATACTCAGAGCTACCATTGTGCTTTTTTAAATTTTTTTTGAGATGACAAAACTATTTCAAAAACTATTTTTTTCTTCAAAAAATTTTTATGTGAAAAATTTTTCAAGAAGAAAAAATATTAAAAATATTTCTTTTCATAGAGAATTTTGATCAAGCTCAAATTTCATATTTATTTATTTATTATTTATGTGTATGCATCAACCCTAAACATTTGAAACAAATCAAACACATGAAGTGTGAACCCCGTCCGTCTTGGTATGGAACGCCCCATACATAAATGCAAACACAAATATATGCATCTGTATACCAAACCATGGGCTCCGAGTGTGGGCTAAAAGCTGTAGAAACAGCAATTGAAACGAATGTTGGGAATTGCAACTCAAAACAAAGCAACAGATTTAATTGCAGACTGGCGCGCTTTTGTTGCCGCTAAACTGATGTCGCCAACACATTGTTCACTATTAGATACAAAGTGCTGTTGTGCAGAAATGTTGGAAAGTTCTCTCAAACATCGTGCTAACACAAGCGAGTGATGAGAAATGACGATACTGTGGTTTGTTTTTGGATAAATTTAAAAAATAAATTTGTGGACATTAAGGTGATTAAATGTTTGTGTGTTTG